AGAGGAGGCAGAGGGGAATCCCTGCCAAAATCTCTCTCTCTGGGGCCTTCAAAAGGCAAGACGGAGAAGAAAATGGAAATGGGATGCATTTTAATTATTAGACTGAAGGAGGCAGTTCAGAAAAAAAAAGGGGGGGGACTCCAGCAGATCCTTGCGTCTCAGTGGCTGAGCCCAGATAATCTCTTTCCGTCCCCCTCCCAACCCGAAGGGCCAGGCGGAGGCCGAATCCCCTCGTTGCCTCCGGGTGAGTCACTGGTCGGATTTGAGAGGGGCTGCCCAATTCTCCCTTTGCTCCTCTGACCCGGGAGGAGGGCAGCTGGTGCCCCCTCGAATGACTCAGCCCCCCGCCCCCTGGGCGGTGAATGCGCCAACACTGGAGATTTTTAAGAAGAGACTGGACAGCCATTTGTCTGAAATGGTATAGGGTTTCCTGCCTGAGCAGGGGGTTGTACTAGATGACCTCCAAGGTCCCTTCCAACATCATCATCATCATCATCATCATCATCATCATCATCATCATTATTATTATAAAATGGGGCCGGAGAGCCGGTGGGCCCACCGCCAACGGAAGCCCACCCTGCTTTCAGCACCCAGTTTGTCACACAAATGCATCTGCAAGGGGGTCCTCGGCCTACGACCACAGCTGAGCCCAAAACTGCTGTTGCTAAGTGAGAAGTCAGTTTGGCGAGTTTTGCCCCGTTTTACAACCTTTCTTGCCGCGGTTATTAAGTGAATTGCTTCAGTTGTTAAGTTAATATCACGGTTAAGTGAATCTGGTTTATCCACTGATTTTGTTTGTCAGAAGATTGCAAAAAAAAAGAGGACCAAGTGACACCCCTCCCCAGGATCCCAGTGCCCCCTCATGTGAAACCAGCGGCCCAGGCTCCGGATTTTGGTCACGTGACCCGGGGATGCTGCAACAGTCACAAGAGTGAAAAATGGTCATAGGTCTCCTTTTTCAGAGGCCTTGTAACTGGTCACTAAACAAAGGTTGTAAATTGAGGACTGCCTGTACTGTGCCCTTAACTCCGCCTTAGCATGTTGTGTGAATCCAACCAACAAATGAACTGTGAGCTACAGACAGCCCTTGACTTATCACCCTGCAAATTTACAGCGGCACTGGAATAAGTGACTTTTATGACCAGTCCTCACAGTTATGACCATTGCAGCGTTTACCTGATCCCCATTTGCGACCTCCCCAGCCAGCTCTCAACAAACAACGTCCAATGGGGAAGCCTGATCCGCTCAACGACAGTGTGATTCATTGACCACCGTTGACATCAAGGTGTTTTGTGATGGGCCCGCATGTGGAGACGGGCAAATACAGAAATTCAAACAAATTAAAAAATGTAAAATTGGGTGAGACTCGCTTAACCTCTGCCTCACTTAGCGACAGTCCTGGCCCCAATTGCGATCGTAACTTGAGGACTAACTGTGCAAGTCCTAAAAAGGCTTCTGCCCCCCAGGCTGGGGGAAAAGCGAGAGGCAGGGACCTGGGGGGGGGAACCGTGTCCCCCTCCCCCCAGCAGGCAGCCAGGGAGGGCCACGGAGGGGTCTGGAGGGGTTGCCATTCTCTGCCCTTGGCAGGTGCCGGCAGAAAAGCCCCTCCCTCCCTCTCTTCCCCCCCACTTTCCCTGGAATGGGACCCCTGGGGGCTGACCCAGATACCAGGAGGGCCACGGAGCTGGGTGGCTGATGTGCCTCAGGGCCAGACTGGGGGTGGGGACCCTGAGGGGGTGTACAGCTTTCTGCACCTGAGGACAAAGGTCAGCCCCCTCCCAGGCAGCCCCCTCCGGAGCCCCCTCCCCGACTCCTGGCTTTTTTGATGCCCAAACCATCCGAAAGCCGAGGGCAAGGCACCCTGGCTGCAAATGCCACCGGAAGTGGAACATGGGCTCCGTTCATCCCCTGCCCAACCGTCTCGAGGGGGGGTGTTTTTGCAAACGGGCTCAATGGACCCGGGAGGCGGCCCTCCCCGCAACGTCCCTGCAGTGCTGGTGCGGCAGAGCGCCTGCCCGGAGACGGACGTCACGCATGAGGGGGGCGAGTGGCAGCTCCCTGGCCTATCACGGGGGGGAGGGGGGAGGCTCTGTTTCGGCAGTAATGCGGGGCTTCCGGAGGGCGCTCGACCTGACACCCCCCCCCCCGGCAGTCAGTGAGCTGGAGGCTGAAGTGGCAGCATGCACGCATGCACGGGGGGGGGCTTCTGCGTCAGGGGACGATGGTGCAAAGGGGAGAGGGGCCACCAGAGCACACCTGGTGGGGCAGCCCCTTGACGCCCTCCCCAATTCAGCATGGCTCCCCCCCCCACTCAGCACAGGGGGATGACAGCCCGGGCAGGAGGAGGAGCTGATAAGACAGCCTGGCCCCCTTCAACACTGACAGCCCCCCCCCCC